AGCCTTCCCGCTGCTCGCGCCTCCCGCGAGCCCTCCCGCTGCTCGCGCCTCCCGCGAGCCCTCCCGCTGCTCGCGCCTCCCGCTCCCTTTCCCTTTCCCGCTGCCGCTACCGCCGCTCGCCGCTGCCGCCACTCGCCGCTGCTTCGCGCGAGCCCTCCCGCTGCTCGCGCCTCCTGCTCCCTTTCCCTTTCCCGCTGCCACTGCCACCGCTCGCCGCTGCCGCCACTCGCCGCTGCTTCCTCGTTTCTCCGTCACAGTTTACTCTTAATATTAAGTTTATTTGAATTTTAAAATGATTTTCTTAATTTAATAGCATATTTTTATTTAAAATTTTAAATAATTATATTTATTAATTATATTATATATTTTTATATTTTAGCGCCTCGCTTCGCTCGGGTGAGCGCCTAGCGCCTCGGGCGTTTTTGGACCTTGGCGCCTAGCGCTTTTTAAATCACTGGGTGTGAGCGATGAACGATTCGTTGAACGAAGTTCTTGCGAGTGCGCGACGACCGTTCGTGACAGTGTGGTGGAGAGTTCCGAGTGGGAGCGGACGAGGGAATAGAGGGGGAGGAGGGAGTGGGCAGAGGCATCCTCAACTACGACGATGTGAGAGCGGGATTAGGGATTCCAGGGCACTGCTCCCTGGAGAATGGGATGGTGGAGGAGCGAAGGGATAGGGAGTGGCTACCACCATATGCATCAATGCAGACGCGGAGCAACATAGGGCAAGTGGCGATGAGGTCGGCGACGCGCTTCTCGTGGAGGCGGGTGGTGTCACGATGAGAGCAAACCTTATCATCGTCGAAGGCGATCAGGCAACCGCGATAGCGTCGAGGCTAGCAACGCCATTGTCGACCGCCACTGAATGTTAATACTATCTTTTTGCCCTTTGTTTTCATGTTTTCGACGATAAAACTAACGTCATTAAGGTAAATTGACCTAAATATTTCACTTTCGTAACTATAGGGATGCCAATGTAACTTTTAAAATGTAAGAATCGGAATGCTAAAAGTAGTTAACCTCAGAGGATAATCTGTAATTAGCCCTGATATGTTGCATACACATCAACATAAACACATCTTCAATAAAGTTGACATGTTGATCAAGGTAGATTTCAGACTCCACAAGGCACATCTGACCATTAGCTATATAAACAATGCAGTCTCGACAACCATGTTGCATATACATGATCAAGAAAATTGACATTTTCCCTTGGCGAAAATATAAACAGTATATATTATCAGTGCACCATCTTTCCTGAACAAAAAGACTTTCACTTACTCTTACAGTACAAGAACCAAAAGAAATACCCAATAAGAGATTATTTTAGATAGATAGATAGAAACATCATTTAAAAATATTAACTAGATAATACAAAGGCATACCTTCTCTTTCCCTGTTGAATCCTGCCCAAATTGTTCAGACAAGCTCGACGTAGCAATTCCAACAACCGTAGACGCCTTCCCTCTCACCAAGCCGGCTTTCTTGGATGTCTCCGGGTGCAGACGTTTTTCCTTGATCGCGGATTCTAACAATTGCCAGAGATCAAGAATCAAGAGCCCTTAAAATCGGGGTTCATCCAAAAGAACCAAAGAAGATTGGTTCCTATCCGAAAGAATCAAAGAAGAATGGCCAATAAAGGGTATTCCGCGAAGGAAAAGGGAGGGGGTGAGGAATTAGGGTTTGAGTGGAATCACCAGGAGTAGATATCCCGCACTTGAAGCAGGCGAAGAGCCGATCGACGTCATCCTTTGGATCGCAGGCCATCTAGTGCGCTACCGACCCCTCCTCCGCACTCTCCCTGCCGATCTCTCTTCCCTTCCCTCTTCCGTAGGCGAGGGCGAGACGCGAACAAACAAACGACGGGTCTGCAACTCCTTTTTATTTAAGGAGCGAGCGCGGGAAAGGAAGTCGTCCGACGCGACCGATCTCAAGTTCGGATCCGCAGATACCGATTCAAATTGATAAGCCCATGGATCGGCCCATTATAAATTCCATAACTGGGCTGTGGTCCGTCGATTTCTGGCTCAGTATCACCGTCCATCAAGATCAAGGGTGCCCCGAGAGTGACACGTGCGTTTTCTACTATAATGACCATGTGGATATAGCATCCGTTCTTTTATAAAAAAATTTAATTGGGAGATTACAATTTGTAACATTTTTTACTATTTACAATTCATCATAAAAAATTTTTATTATTTTTAAAATTATCTTTGCAAATGGGCATAAATACCTCTACTTTTTACTCATCTCTCTCTTTGTTCTTGTTTTCCCTTTTCTTTTTTTTTCTCTTTAAATGATAATGATTAGTGTTTTTTCTCTTTGAATGATAATGATTAGTAATATCTACAACAATGATGAACAATGTCAATAACAATCAACTACCAATACTCATAACAAACAAGGCCAGCGATGATAATATTGATAAAGAACGATGATGATGATGATGATGATAAAGAGTGATATCGACAACAAGAATGAAATATGGTATTGTGAAATATATATATATATATATATATATATATATATATATATATATATATATATAT